AATTCCGTAAAAATTCAAAAAATATCCACTGGACTTGGTTTTCAAGATTTGAAGACGTTTCGCCACCTCATCAGGAAGCTTTCTCAATTCTTGAAATCTTGAATCTTGAAAACCAAGTCCAGTGGATATTTTTTGAATTTTTACGGAATGACTTTGACCTGGATGACTGAGAACCTTCATCAGCACATGGGATAAAATGTTTGGGAACTTTAAAATTTTGAAGTTAGGCTACAACATAAAAAAAAAAAATTTAATAGCTTCAAAAATATGAAGACAGCTGTAAAGCATGAGTTACTAAGAAGCTTCAGCAGCCTGAGTTTCTTACCTAACAGCATGCTATAAACTATCATGGAGAACACTGGTTCCATTCAACCAAAGAGTACCTTACCAAAATGCAAATAAAAAAATGCTATCTAGAAATAAAATAAGGCCTTTTTTTTAAAAAAAAAAAAAATGTTTTTATTATCTCTGTGGTTTTCTCAAATTTTATTTCATCCATACATCCATCCATTTTCTGTCATGCTTTATCCCAAGCTGGTGCCTATTTTTAGCTGTCTATGGGCGAGAGGTGGGGTAAATCCTGGACAGTTTGCTAGTCCATTGCAGGATTTTTTTTTACATTTTGTTTTTCCAAATTTGTTTTCTTTTTTTCTTTTTTTTTTTTTTTTACAGATTTTGTATATTCAATTTTGTTTTCAAATTTCAATTCTTCTAATTGAGTTTTACAAATTGCACTCTTTTCAATTTTGGGTTTATAGATAACATTCTCTTTAATTCAATCCCAATACACATGCTCACTCTTGTTCCACAAATTGACCAATAAAATGTTTCTCAAATCCATGCAGATCAATAAAAATGTGTCTTTGCTCCTCAATCCAGAGGAAAGCCTGCCATAGAAGTAAGGAGAATGTGATCTGTAATTTGTAAAACAGAAATTAAAATTTTAAGATTTACATTTTTTTTAAATAAATCTAAGAAAAAATGCAAAGTGACTCTCAAAACCTTTTTTGATTAAAAAGTAATTTTTGGGGGATTTTTTATGTTATTTTTATTAAATTTTTTTTATATTTCCATTTATGAAATGGAGATATATCAGATAAAAATTCACTCCATAAACCATCGACTTTCTGGGCATCAAAATATACTCGCCTGCCCAAAATCAGGCAAATTTTTTATTGCAGTATCTTATCAAGGCTGGTGGGGAGGTAATGAGTCTAAATGTTCACAAATCACACAAAGAACTGCAACGAATCTTACTAAACATCTTTTAAAGGACTATAAATCTTATAGTGTTCTGAAATGATGCTTCTGTGAGATGATTAAGGAGTGATGCCAGCTTAATAATAGCTAATGGATGTTGTTTTTTATATATATATATAAATAGCTAAAGGTCTTATCAGAGCAGCCTTTCTCTGCAGATGGCGGGTGTGTCTGAGCTTTTCTTCTTCTGATTTGTGTGCATTAGTGATTCAAAGCGAAATAACAAAATCAGCATGCTTTGATGTCTTTAAATGAAACATCTGCACAATACGACGCTGAAAGGGGGAAGAAGGGATCTGCAGCCATAGAGGAGAAAGGAAGGCCAACATGTGACCAAGGTTTAATGGACTGAATAAAGTGGGTTGGAGTATTAAAACCTCCCCTTTATAACATCTCATGGTCGGTTTCCGCCACTTCATCTGAACATTAGACACAGGACTGCTGGCCTTCAGGAGTCTGCTAGACTCACACTTCATTCAAAGACAAAATGTTTACTAGAAAGGGGGGTAGAGCGGATTACATTAGTGCTTGCAATGGATTTATTATTTTTTTTAAGTCTTTTATGACCCTCATATAGTCCAAGTACATGTTCTTCAGCTCTGATCATGTCGCAGTACAGGAAAGCCTTTTGAAAGCAGAGTGAAAGCAAGTATGTGAGCATGAATTGGCATAAATTAGCCGATAATGCAATTTTTGTTTTTTATGTTTGTTGATTTTCTATGAGCAACATCTATGTGGAACAAAATGTCAAGAAATAAAACACATTCAAATATGTTTTAGAGTCATAAATCTGAGAGCTGCAATCAGGCGCTAATGGTAGGAAAACACTCAGGCAAACCATGAACTGCAGGAGGGAAAGAGAAGCTGACACATGGGGATGATGATCACACAGTCTAAATTCTTTCCTATCCATTTGATCACATTTCAGTCCGAAACTGCAATGCATTTTGTAAGGAAGTTATGTAAACCAATGCAATACAGTGAACTATGGATGTTCCTTGCATATGTAGTCAGTCCTTTTTACTTCAATACACCAAATAAATTTCAACTGAAACCTCAACTCAACAAATAACTTTACAAATAGAAAGCGACACATTCTGTTGCCTCTTTTGGCTCCCACAAAGCTCATTCATAGACCAATTATGTTTAAATATTATCAAAGTATGACATTTTATTTCTCCGATCCAAGTAAAGAGGACAGGGATTTGTACACAAGGAAATATATTCAACTATTTTGACGGGCATCTTTGAATCTTAAATCTTCTTTGAAGAAAGTACAGAACAGGCTTTTCACATCATCATTTTTTGTCAAAGATTAATTAACTTTGCATGTCGTTCTGCAAGATAAGGAGCTTTTCAATGTAAGTGAATTTCAGTTTACTTACTTTAGAAGACCTGAGTGGTCTGGGAGGTTGATACACTGACAGGGCCTCTGGAAATAATTCTGAATATGGGGTGATGTGAAAATGTTTTTGTTATTTTTTTGGACAAAAGACCTATGAGCCTATAGTCCTATTTAAAACACAAAAAAATATATAAAAGTAAATAGATTGAGTTTCACTACTTTATTGTCATATACACTTCAGTGCACGCAACCAGGATCTGTAACAAACAGACATCAACAGTTCTCAGGTGAATATATAAACTACTAATTAGACTTCACATTAACATTATAACAACGTAGACCTGGTCAGCTGGCATGAACCTGAGTTACTATGTTTGTGTCACACATGACTCTATTAGCTCCAAAATAATTTTATGCAAACCACAAGGAAATACTTATATTATTATACTATTTAAACATTATTGAACAATTCTTCACACAAAGAACCTAAGATCAAATACACTAAACACTCTAAAATACTATGATTACATTAAACTGCACGAATAGATATTAAAGTGCACGGCGGCATCATGCTCTCACTTTTGAGCAGGGTGCCCTGGTTACAGGTGTCCAAATGCTGAGGTGCGCTCTGGGGTCACTCATGAGAGGACAAATCCGAAACATGTTTCTGTGCCATATTTCCTCTCTGTTTCTGTCATTAGACTATGTAAATTTACTAGTCTGCTGCCGCGTGCACAAAAATAATAATGCAGTCTGCTAGTTTCTGATTTCCTGGCTGTCCTCCAACCTCCGATACATCACCGTCTGGGATATATTTCCATTGTGGCTTTTATATATATATCTATTGCGGCTTTTGTATTTGTCTTGCAGCTTTTGTATCTGTGTTGCGCCTTTTGTAATTGTGTTGTGTTATTTATAATTGCCCTGCAGCTTTTGTATTTGCGTTGCAGCTTTTGTATTTGTCTTGTAGCTTTTGTTTTTAAGTTGTGGCTTTTGTAATAGTGTTGCGGCTTTTGCATTTATGTTGCAGCTTTTGTAATTGTGTTGTCGTTTTTGTATTTATGTTGCGGCTTTAGTAATTGGGTTGTGGCTTTTGTATTTGTGTTGCAGCTTTTGTAATAGTGTTGCAGCTTTTGTATTTATGTTGCAGCTTTTGTAATTGTGTTGCGGCTTTTGTATTTATGTTGCAGCTTTAGTAATTGGGTTGTGGCTTTTGTATTTGTGTTGCAGCTTTTGTAATAGTGTTGCAGCTTTTGTATTTATGTTGCAGCTTTTGTAATTGTGTTGCGGCTTTTGTATTTATGTTGCGGCTTTTGTAATTGTGTTGCGGCTTTTGTAATTGTGTTGCGGCTTTTGTATTTATGTTGCGGCTTTTGCAATTGTGTTGCGGCTTTTGTAATTGTGTTGTGGCTTTTGTATTTATGTTGCGGCTTTTGCAATTGTGTT